AAAAAAAAAGGTAGGCCAGTTGGTAACCTACTCCCGATCTTCAAATCGAATCGACTGCAGTGGAGCTAGACCGAAGCACTCCACTTTCCCAAGTGTGCCTCCGGAGCGAACCAGCAGCTCATTTTTTACGCGTTCTTGTTGACTTGATTTTGTGTCCTTTTCGGACTTGAAAATGGTGGAGCGCTGAATAAAAATGGGCCACTCTCCACGGCAGACACTTTTTTTGGCGATTTCGTTCGCGAGTGGTGGATCGAAACCAAGCGGGTCTGGCAGCTCCACTCATAAAAGGAAAAGGAAAAAAAAAAGAAAAAAAAAAGAGGAAAGCAAAAGAACCTTCCCACCTTCTCGAGGAAGATAGATTGTCCATTTTTTGCACGTTTCATGAGTTGTGGGGCAAAGCCCAGGGTGTAGTTGCACCACTAGCCATCGGCCAAGCTTTTGAATGCATACGGACAAACCCTACGTGCAGATTTATTCAAAATATCAGAGGACGGCGAGTTCTGCAACTAGGCACTCAGAGTCTGAGGGCATCCTCACACTGGTAGTACCTTTTTGCCTTCAGATAGCCGACATCAGCGCAATGCCTGTAGTCTGTGGGCCTAGGTGCACCACTCGTCATCCGCCAAAATTCTGAATGAATGTGAACAACCGGTTTGTCCTGATGCATTCAAAATGTTGGCGGATGGCGAGTAAGTACAACCTGGGCCACAGGGGAAGACGTCATTCAGAAGTATTTGGGTACTCAAAATGTCAACGCGCTGCCAGGTTGGTCAAAGCCTCTTTCACAGACACCAATGTCTGGATTTCGAAGGCAAAAAGGAACTACGACGAATAATGGGCCTCGCTCCACTAGTCTCGACATGCACAAAAGACAAAAATCATGGCGGCGTATCTTTCCACGTTTTAGCAGAAGATTCACTCTCGTTTTGCACATTTCGAGAGTAGTGGAGCGAGGCCCATTAGCCCTTGGAAACTACAGGGTCCCCTGCAAGCATAGCGGTAGGTAGATAGTGATAGGTGAAATGGAGAGAAGACTAGCTTTGCTATTAACAAAAAAAAAAAAAAAAACATTTCTACAGGGTCCTGTAACAAAATGGAACTACTGCGAATAATGGGCCTCGCTAGACTAGTCTCGACATGCACAAAAGACAAAAATCATGGCGGCGTATCTTTCCATGTTTTAGCGGAAGATTCACTTTCGTTTTGCACATTTCGAGAGTAGTGGAGCGAGGCCCATTAGCCCTTAGAAACTACAGGGTCACGTGAAAAGATACACCCGCCATTACAGCCCGGTCATTATAGCTGTATATTTGGCACAACTTTCCGTCCAGATGCAGCGATAATGACCGGGCGTTCCATTCGGGAGAAGACGGTAGTGCGGCGAGGCCCATATAGCTACCTTCTTCCCTCGAATACACCGAACGGTCATTACACCGAAGATATCCCAAATACAGGTATAATGATCGAACGTTGTTTTGGGGGGAAGAAGGTAGGTTCGTTGCGGTACAGTGAGGCGTTTTGTCCGCTGTCGTGTTCCGTTCTTCGTCGTGGCAGCGTGAAGTGAAGGCGCCGCTTTTTGAAACGATTGACGTCAGGAGCGACCGCAAAAGCAGCGGCGCATCTCCTGATGCAATTCGTATGTGTTCTCCGATTCTCCATTTTGTTACAGGACCCTATATAATTTTTTGTTTTTGTTTTTTTTTTGTTAATAGCAAAGCTATAGTCTTCTCTCCATTTCACCTATCACTACTTCGTGCAAGATGCATTCTTACACGGTTAGTGAGTAGTGCGGGGTCTCGCCCTATGAGGCTTACGAAACCACCGAACGAAAAAGCGCACAGTACGGGTCTCGCCACTGAGCACACGCACAAAAGACAGAAGACGAAATTATGGCTGTATAGATCCATGTTTTAGCAGAAGATTCATTCACATTTTGCACATAAGGTCAGTGGGCGTAGCGAGACCCTACATCTCACCCAAACAGCGGACGACCGATCGCAAACACGTACGTCACTCCACACCGCAGCATCGTAACGGTCAACTTGTTTTACGTTTTTTTTTTGAATGCGGTCATCTTGTTTGAGGTAATAGGGAATGCAACACGCCGGATTGTTTCAGCTCCATTTCCCGGCATATAGGACCTCGCTCGACTACTCACCAAATGTGCGAAATGAAAATGAACCTTCCGCTGAATATGGTAAGATACACCGCCCTATTTGTCTCTTATATGAATATGGAGAGGAGCGGGGCAAGGCCCACAAGCATTTCTGCCCTCTGGACAACGTGACCGCCCTTCCCCACACTTCTATACCCAAACGAAAATCAGGACAAAGCTGTCAAAGTTCTGCGCTTTTCCTCAAAAAAGAAAAGACAGAGACCGAGGCCCTCAAAAAAGAACGAAAAGACAGAGATCGAGGCCCACAGACAAACGGCAAGGAAGAACATGCTATGCTTAGGAAGCGGCTCGCGAGGGAAACTTTTTTTTTTTTTTTTTTTTTGGTAAACCATTTTCCAAATGAAGCTCGAATAAATCATAAATCACACTTCGAACGGAACGCAACACAGCTCGAAACAAAGCCAGCGTTGTGGGCTCACATATGTAAGGCAGACGAATCCGCAATTACGTCACGTCACTATGGGCCTCGCTGCACTATCCAAATGTGCAAAATGAGACTGAATCCACCCGTAGAACATGGAAAGATATATTGGCATTTTTTTTATCTTTTGCGCATGTGGAGAGTAGTGCAGCGAGCGAGGCCCTATAGGTGCGGAGCTACAATATAGACCCCCGCACCCCCATGTTGATTGTATCGGACCGCAAGCAACGCTGTATACATTTATAATGACGGCGCGTTGTATTCCCCCTTTTTCAAAGGCTACTCGAAAAGAAAGTCGATGCCAAGAAGATGGCGCGGCCTTTAATGAAGTGGTGGAATCCGAATCGACGGAACAACAAATATGTGGACTTCTGCGATCCCTGGCAGCTATTGAAATCTCAAAACCGATCACCGACACAAGGCGAGCGTAAGAAGTTGCGCCACACGGGTTCTTAAAACCACAGGGGCTTTAGCGGTCCCCATTTCGGGTTCTTAAAACCACAGGGTCTTTAGCGGTCCGCATTTCGGGTTCTTAAAACCACAGGGGCTTTAGTGGTTCGCGTTTCATGGGTAGTTTAAGGAAAGCAGCCACAGAGCTGCAAGGACTGTAGAAAAAGGCCTGCAGTCTTTTCAGCCTGTAAGCTAAGCTGGATGATGTTTCCTATATGTTTTCTCTGGGACTAACGTAGAGGACACCGGCCTCTGATCCAATTTCAAATAATGAAGTTGATTCTATAGGCAAAAAAATAAAAAAAGTGCATCATATGCTCGGTGCCTTCAAGGAGAAGGCGGAGATAACGGACAGGAAAGTACTAATGAGATAACGGACGGATAAAAAAAAGTGCATCATATGCCAGATAATACGGACTGGCAAAGAGGATTGGAATAAGTGTCTGAATCTGGACGTGTTCCACACACACATGCACAAAAGTAGATCAACCACAAAATTTTGCCCCTGTCCTCAAACACTTCCACATTCAGACACTTACTACAATCCTCTTTGCCAGTGGGATCTCGCCCATACTCTCCGACTTCAGAGAGAAGCGGGACTCGACGGTAGAGGAAACGACGCTCGGAACAGCTTTTTTTTCTTTTCTTTTTTTTTTTGGTTTCTTATTGCAACAGTTCCAACCGAGGCCGGGGGCCAGGTCCCACTTCCCCGGATCCTCCATTCCCGACCGTAGATCACGAAAATCAACGGCCAGAAATGAAGAATCCGGTCAAGTGGGACTTGGCCCCGGGGACCTCACAATTCAACCCGGAGTTATCCTCACAGCATAACTACGGGAAAAAAAAAAAAAAAAAAAAAAAAACCCCGCTAACTACGGAACCAACGGGCCTAGCTGAGTTGGTACACCCATGAACCGTTAACATAGAGACCCAAGTTCGAATCCAGATGCTATTAGATGACCAGAGGAAAATCATTCTGAATAACCTGGGGCCGGTGAGATCAATGATGATGATATCTCAAGGCTGTCGCCCTTAAAAAAGGAAAAGAAAGCTAAGTGCGGAGAAAACATCTTATAGACACAAGACTAAGTGCGGAGAAAACATCTTATAGACACAAGACAAGGTCGTTCTTATAGACAATCACATATCTACTTATCTCTCCTCTTGATATGCATTACGATTCATCAAGCGTCTTGTACTATGTTCCTCATGTAAACCCTCCCCGTCTTCGCCCGAATAGAACGCCCGGTATTCATCGCGCTGTATCTAGACCCAAACTTGGCGAAAATACAGTTATAATGACCGGGCCTTCTATTCGGGCGAAGACGGTAGTCCATCCACTCAGCCATCACAGCCATCCATTCACTCCCCATATTCGTCTTCACGTGTCTACCCCTTACCTGCACTGATCACTGATGTATTACAGCTCTATCATTTACCGAGTGTCGATGTACCCGCCAATCCACTTCCACTCTCTCTAATAACAGGTAGTGCAGAGGTAAATCTCAACCCACTTGCAGGGCACATAATAAACCACCGAACCCCCCCCCGATTATCCAAGTCATAATATCCCTTACCAGTCAACCTACGAATGCACGTCATACGCACTTCTACTACCAGACTTTGCGCCTCGATTACCCGGAAGATCTTGTCTACAAAGTTCCGTTGACTTGAATAATAACCCGAGACAGATTCCTATTTTGCGCCCTCGCACATCCAAACCACAGTCAAAACAAAGTACCAATAAGAACAGAGGAAAACATCTTACCCAATATTTTCAGCACTGAGAATACTGAGGGAAAGAGCGCTGTGTTAAGTAAGAGGGTGCAAAGAGCGCTGGAAGGAAGAAGAGCTATGGAGACAACGAGTTATAGAGAACATGGAGAAAAGAGTTATGGAGAACATGGAAAACGAGTTATGGGGGAAGAGCTATGGAAAAAGAGCTATACTTACGTCCTTCTGGCAGGTCCGAGAAGTGGATTCTCCCTCAGAGGCTGGAAGGAGAAAACTCCCAAACCGGGAACCGCACAGTCGACTTTGGGATTCGTCTGCTTGGTGCAGTGATTGACGCCCAATACAATAAAGAACCACAAGATGAACAGCAACGAGAGCGCGGCCCAAGTGAAACGCCAAACGCGCTGATGCGCAGGGCGATAATGCGGGCAAGATTGCTCCATCACACCCATAGCTGTCAAAACAACTCTGCACTTCAACCAACACAACTAAGTCGAGACAGCAAACCAACTCTTCTTCTTCACTTGACGCAACGATCTCTACACAGCAAAACGAATCAATAAGTCCGCCGCCAGACCAACTACAACTCCCTCAAGGCCAAGGACCGCAACACTATGTCGCCCAAACGAAGATGGAACGCCTGCTGCAGTAACAAAAATCTACTCTGCAAAACACAACCACCAGTGAATCTGCGTTATTAAGAATTTAAGATCAGACTCCGATTCACTTCAAGAAAGATGGCCTTTCAGAGCGATGGAAGAGTAGAGTAGAATACGCCCCGCCGTGCACAGAGACGAGACCAGCAAATCGATAAGCAGCTTAAGCCTCTCCAAAGGCTGTTGATGATCCTACTCTCCATGGAAAAGGGAGAGGCTGCTGTGCTGGAAATGAAGTTCCAGTAGAAATTGTAAGAACCATGAGTCATAATACTTAGTACAGACTTTCCAACAAACACCACAAACGATGGAATTAAAAAAAACAACTGATTCAAAGACTTAAGAAAACACAGAAATATGGCTGATAAAAGCACCTATGATTAAACAAATCCAAAAGATTTAATAAGAAACGTTATGCGAGCAAAGATGATATTGCCTACGATTTCATACGTTGTCCCTGTCAGCTTCTAAATAGGAGTAACACGAGCCCCACAACTGCCCATTTAACACGAACCCTGTTGCGAGGAAAGAGGGAGAAAGAGAGAGAGAGGGGGAGAGAGAGAGGGAGAGAGAGAGGGAGAGGGAGAGGGAGAGGGAGAGGGAGAGAGAGGGTCAAAGGGGAGAAGAAGTGGAGGTGGAAGAAAAAAGGGTAGGAAGATTCATTCAGCATAAATACGTCAGTGCATCTTGTGCCACCAACAGATGGTAATGGTGTCTGGTCTCCTGTTCTCAGGAAAACGACAAAAGCCTCAGCAACGAAATGTAAATAACCCTTGTCGTTGAAGATCAACAAACGAAAAACAAAGAATCATGATTACTAATCCTTGGATCCGATTGCCAAACAGGGTTTAATCGGATGCTAATCATTCAGCTATCAGCCAGAGGTATCGTGCACAACTCTGCATATATATTACTTCTACAAAAAGTCAATAAGCTCGTACCGGGAAAGGGGGGGGGGGGGRGGAAGGGGGGCGAGGGGGGGAAAGGGGAGAGAAAGGGATGTTTTCGAAGGTTGCGTTTCGGAGGTCGTCAAGCTGAGGAATATCAAAACAAGTGACTTGTTTATACTGTCCCGAAAGAGAGAGATTGACAGGCTCGGGAAATCAAAAACTACCTGGTAGGTCTTCATGACTTGTGAAATCGAGTAGGCTAATATCCCCCCCCCCCCCCTTAGTAGGACCTAGTATAGCCTTTAAAAAAAAAAAAAAAAAAGTGTAATCGAATCCAAAACAAGTCTTTTTTTTTTACGATCAAAGGGGTTTAGAGGGATCGGCCAGAGGTACAATGCACAACTTCAGAGTGAAAAAAAAAAATCGGTGAGCTCGAGGAGAGGGGGGGGAGGGGAGGGTGGAATACACTGTTTCCTACATTTGCGTTCGCAAGACTAATATAAATTTCAGGAAAAATGAAGAAAAAAAAAAAAAAAAAAGAAGCGAGTTGTTTGGAGGGTACTAAATAGGGCTCGATAGGTTCGGGAGAATCCTAAACACGGTAGGTTTTCGTGATTGGTAAATGCGAATGAATCTACCTGAGCAGTTCGACTAAATTAATAGAAAAAACGGATTACTTTTTTTTTTGGGGGGGAGCCGAATAGCAGATTCCAAAGCCGAGTAAATCCCCCTGTTCCTTCCGATCCAAACAAATTATCCGAACCGGCTGATGCTGATTAGCATAATCACATTCCCAGTAAGTCCACCTGGTCAGCTCCATTCAAACCACAAATATCTCATCCATTCAAACCCCAATAGCTCATAATCACATCCCCATTATCCTGATCAACTCATTCAAAACAAACATTCTCATTACACCTTGAGAAAGAGATACGGATTTTAAGTCACAAAATAAACCATACAAATAAAAACTCCAACATGTGGGATCCGGGCCTACAAAAGGCTCTACGATGATGATTATCATGACAACAACAACGATGATGATGATGATGATGATGATGACGATGGTGATTGTGGAGGCATCAGTAGAGAGAAGTACATGAGCGAAGAAATCAGAAGCAGTCTTCGTCTGAAAACTTAGGGTTTTATTGAAAATAAATAAATAAAAATTGCAACCTCCTTAGATGCATGCGTCCGGATACAGATCGATAGCAATGCTACTCCATATCATTCCACCCGGCATCTGGAATAGACACTACCTGTGCGCCTTTCCGTACAGTAGACATATCTAATCTCTTGGCCAAGTGGAGAAGCACGTTTCTGAATACGGATCCTTGTGCGCTTTTCCGTACAGTTCTAGATCAGGAAACTTACGGGAATGCGTTACTATGCGAGGAATTAGGAAAGAAGGAAAAAAAAAAAGCTGCATTAATTACAGAACAGACGACTCCACCATCATCATCGTCTTATATCCTCCTCGTTCTTCCTCTCACCCGCATTCTCATAGCCCATCCATCAGCATCAGCATCAGCATCCGCATCTCTCTCTCTCTCTCTCTCTCTCTCTCTCTCTCTCTCTCTCTCTCTCTCTCTCTCTCTCTNCTCTCTCTCTCTCTCTCTCTCTCTCTCTCTCTCTCTCTCTCTCTCTCTCTCTCTCTCTCTCTGTGTGTGTGTGTGTGTGTGTGTGTGTCTGTGTGTCTGTGAGAAGCGCACGGATGACGTAGGACACAAGCAGGAAGAGGAAAAGGCAGGAAGGGAGGAGAACGGAGAAGACGGCGAGAAGTACGGGAAAGCCGAAAAAGAGGCGATGGATGAAGAGGAGCTTCGGATAGAGAATGCAAGCAGTAAAACATACGACAAGGGACAAGGGCGCAGCAGAGCATGCAGAGGAGCAAAGGACAACTCACCTCCTGGCCAAGCTGAGCCAGCCGCCGCAGTTCACGCCGGTCGAAGGCGAGGTCTCGCTTTTCAACAATTGACCACTGAGCCTCCTGTGAACCGTTCCAAAGACAACGGCGGGGTCTCGTAGAGATTCGTCCTTGTACATTTTTTGAAAGTGGCGGGCTTCGGGTTTTTGCGGGCGTCGGGATCCAGCGGGTGTCGGGATATTGCTGGCCTACCCGGTAGCGGGCGTCGGGATGCCGCTGGGAGAACCAACCAAAAAGGCTCCGTCAGTGCGTTTTGCTTCGTTCTTTTTCTTTTTTATTCCGTTTTCTGTTTTTTTGTCTGCAAAGCAACGGCCGATCTAACGATCGGCCGCCGTACAAGATTCGGACTCTGTTCGTCAACAGCTCCATCCCCTTAACATTCGCGCACCAGGCACGTCCACAACGAGGGCGTTTTCCCAGAGCCGTTGTCGGCCCGGCCGGCCTGTCCCCTTCCTTTTTCCTTTTTTTTTTTCTCCCTTCCATTCCTTTTGTGGAGGAGCAGGTTTAGAAGGTCCAGAACAGTTCTGACCTGCCAGCCTGCACGACGCCGCCTAACTGCCAGCCTGCCTGCCGAAGTTCCATGGACCCCCCTGTTTTTTCTTTAGGAGCCCCCTATCTTGGTAAGGGCAACCCCAAGACGGCCATCTCTTGCTCCTTTCTGCTGGCGGGGGAGCTACATCGGCTGGAAACGGGGTCCAGCGTCCCTAGACTTTCATTTATCAAACACCAGAGTCAGAGTCCCACTACATGGTGTTTTTCATTTCTGACCTTGGATCAGCGTATTCCCGCCACCGTCGGCGGTCAAGAATGAAGAACACACGCCAGTGGGACCTGGCCCCAGTGTTGAGCATCGGGCCCAATGACCCGTATAGGCCGAGCTGGGGCCATGCAACCCCCCACAACCAGGGGGTGTAGGAGAGCATTGCTCTGTGAAGGCATCCTCATGGCATACGGTGAGTGTCCTTGTCGGGAGAGAGCAAATTAGGGATGTGCTCTGCCTTCGGTCACAAGGTGGGAGGGTAGTATCACAGGAGTAGGGGGTGGTTCCACTTGGTGGGGGGGGGGGAGCAAACAAGGTAACCCATCGGTCGCGAAAAAAACACATAAGCCTGAGGCTGGGGACTTCGTATAGAAAGATCACAGTTCTGCACATGAAGTAATAATGAAAAGCATAGAATATGGACTACATACACATTGGAGAGGGCACCCGTACAAATCACAAGACTACCCACCATATAGAGATGACAAACTACACACATACGAGGGAAAACATACAAGGGAAACAGACCGAACAGCTAGTTACGGTTGCACTAGGCAATGACCTTTGATGCGTATGGAATATTCACTAACTTTCTTGGGACTTTAACCATTGACTGGACTAGACTGCATTCTTATGGGCTAACCGGCTTAGAGTCTTAGACTCGACTTCCTATTGCACTGGGACTTATGCTACATGAGGCTTGGAATCTTAGGACCAGAACTATGACAATATGTTGATACTCGTGAAATCCTTTCAATCCCACCACCCAAAATTCGATATTCCACGAAAAATACGAGTCGGTAACGAGGTTAATCATATAAAATATTTGAAACTTGTGTTGTATCGTGTACGTGTACGCAAGCTCACATAAAATAAATCATTCATACAATGTTGGAATGATGCAATGAATCCGGAGGACATTACATTAAGTTCATGCTAGTTATACTACATATGGAAAGCGGTATTATGTTGATTCTCTTTGACCACTTCAATTTAACGATACTCGAATTTAAAGTTTATCTTCAAAAACGTCATTGTAAATGGTATAATACATAGACTACACATGGTAATGATGACAATCACACTCAAAGCTCTATACTTTATACTCATTTGTATTCACAAATTTTTATCGGTAATACCCTATATGTTATCTATTATTTCATCATGGACCTTTTGCAATATTATCCTTTCACATTTTTTGCACAGTAAAATTGAATGTTGTTTTATTTATTTCCATACGTAATGTTTAGTGAAATCGTTATCTACTAATACACTTTACTTATTGCGACTTCGGGAAGTAGGGACCGACGTAGCCCTCTTCTCATATTTAAAACATTTTA